GGAACCGAACCCTCAACCTCTTCTGGCTCTGCAACCAGAGGCCTTCTAACCCCGGAGCCGTCCCGCCACCATTCATGGGCTCTCTCTCTCTCTCTCTCTCCCCGCATCCTGGCATCCCCTCCTGCAGGGCTCCCCACCCCGGGGGGGGGTGGCTAGGGGGTCCTTCCTCTGGCCGGCGGGCTGGTTTAGGCTGGGGGTGTCGCAGACTGAACGGGCATCCTTCTGTCTGCCAGGCGGAGGGATGCAGGGGAGCCAGGCACACACACACAAACACACACACACGACGCCAGGTGGGTCTCACCTGGCGTGTATGTGCCCTCCCCGAGGACACGAACCTAAGGCACTGCCCTTTGCCCCGGTTTGCACTCAGCTGTGGCTTCCCAGTGGAGGCTGCGCTCGGCCGACGAAACCTGAACGGCCGGAGGAAGGCCATGCTCACCTGGGCAAGAGGACCTCTTGCCCTTTGGACCCCTGTCCATTCTAAGAACAGCAAAGGAGGTATCATCCTGCACCACCTTTGGGAGATCCGCGAGCGCTGGACCCAAGGTGGCGGGCTGCAAGACTTCCTTGCAGCTGTGGTTCCGATGCCCATTTCTCTGCGGTCTTTTAGAAAAGACACACACACCCCCGGTTTCATATTTATCAAGTCACTTTTAATGAATATGAAACCGGAGCAGAACGGGCACGTGTGAAAGCCATCCGGGAAAGGAGCCCCTCCGAGAGTCAGGCCCTTCTGGAGACCGGTGTGAAAAAGAACGGAGAATCTCACCCATCTTCATTTTTTTGCTTTCTGCCCTGGGGTTGAGGGCTAACTTTTAATGTGGTGTTTCGTATTCACTTTTCCTTTAGAGTTTTAATTTATGGCGAGCTTGCAAACAGGAGCCTGTCACTTTTATCGGCTGTTAGGGATGGAAACGTGCTTGCAAACGGGGATGAAAGTTTTTGGAATCCTGAAAATAATTGGCTCTTACACGCGCTTGATCCACATGAGTTGCAAGGAAAAGGCGGAGAGATTCTTACAGCCCAATGTCCGGTTGTTGTGTTTTTAATGATACAAGCTGCCTCGGTTCCTTTTTTCAGAGAAAGGTGGGATAGAAATGTTTTAAATAAGTAAATAATAATTGGGGATGGATGACTTCGCGTACAGCTATGAAAGAAAAAGTTGTTCACCCTGGAAAAAGCATTTTGTGGTACCTTGAAGACTAATAGACTCTATTTTAGTCTGAGTTTTGTGGATTATCATCCTTTTCTCCAGATACAAATAACGTTGCTAAGCTTATCGATAGATCTGTCCTCTCGGCTTTGTTGAGGATTGGGTGCATTTTTTTCTTCAAGTACGAGCGCTGGTTTTTTTGTCCTTGGATCTGCATGTGCATTAGTGGCTGCATGTAATAAATAACGTGGGCAAGAATATGAAATGCGGGTAAATCAGACAACGCAGAAAGAGGGTGGTGCGGGTGCTGGGTTCTTGTGCGGGGGAGCCTTCTCCATGGACTCCCTTCGTCCCACCCCAGATGATCAGATTCAGACAGTTCTAGGGTTTTCTCCTCTGCTTTTGAAAATTAGAAGTTGTTAGCTGTCTGGTGAACAGAGTCATTTTGAGATCGTCTCAAACCTTGTCCGCACAGTGAAATCGGGTTTGATCCGGCCAGTGCTTAAAAGGGTCCTTATCTTCAGTTCAAGTTATTTTAATTCTTGGTCCCTTTCTGTGAAAGCGGAACAAAGAGCTATTTTGCATCTCAGTGAATTGTCCCCAAAAGACGGCATGCCCTCCCCCTGTGCCAGAAAGGTAGGGGCTAGCTCTTGGAGAGGAAGGATGGGTCGTTTTAAGTAGAAATGCAAGCGGACGAGGTTTTTCCGTTCGTTCCCTAAAAGTGCTATCGGTGACCCATATGTCGTGTGTAGACGCGCTCTCGGCTGTAGCATCCACGCAGTGCAATCCTTAAGGAGCAGGGGGGCTTTCAAAAGAGCGTGCGCTACATCCTTTATATGTGACCTCTTCTCTTCTAAAAGAGGGTTAAATTAAGAAGATTGGATTCAGATTTATTCATACTAAGAGCAGACCCTTTGGTAGAAACAGAACTGAAGGTTCTGATGCCTCTGAAGGTTTTCGTACCCCGGTGCATAAGCCCGCCTCGGCGTAGGCAAAGTCTGGTGTAGAACACAGAGATGATCTGAGGTTCACGTGGGTTGCCATAGCTACTTACAGCAAATACTGCAAAGATGGAGCAAAAGTGACAGCCAGGGAGTGCCTTCGCTGCTTTGGGCGTGGAACAAAGACCGGGGGGGGCCCTCCGGCAGCACCACGGAGCCTCAAAAGCTTGCTGGCGCAGAGGGACACCAGCATCCACCCCTGAGAGGATATGCCTTTCGCTGCTGCTTGGCAAGATGATGTTCAACAGGTGCGGCCACACTTAAATCTTTTCTTTGTGCAGTCAATGGTGTTTCTTTTGTTAGTTACCACACCTCGCCTCTTGAGGTGTCTGCCAGCCTGTTGGGTTTTTGATGCCCATTGAACAACTTCTTGCTTCGTTCGTTGTCTTTTTATCTGAGCCGTGCAAAAGGGCATGGGCGCATAAGACTCGTGGATCTTAATGGGGCGGGCACCAGCCTGTGTGTGCCGATCCATACTTCGCAGGAGTAGTTGTGGAGCGATCCACCAGCAAAGCCATTAACGCTCTGCCATGGCTTCGAAGATTCTTGATTGTGTTTAGCCTGGACGGTGTCGTGTGTTTCTAAAATAGCTGTGGGGTGTTTTTTTGGGGGGCGGGCGGAAGGGACACCTGCCATTCTTGCTTTTTGGTTGTTGGGGTTGCTTTCTCCCTTCATGTGAACACAGGGCAGCAGGATCCGTGCTCTGAGGGAGGTTTAGAGTGGATTTCGCCCTCTTTACGGGGCCACTGATAAAAATGGCTTTTGACAGTCTTGGCACAGGTACGCACTTCCTGCTCCCAAGAAGATTACAGTATAAATATTGCATGGTTTATTCCCAAAGACAATACCTATTATGGAAGAGGAGGCACCGTTAAGAAGAGGGTTTGGGTGCTTCAGTGTTGCTGGAAGGACAGAGGGAGGACAGCTGAGAATAGGATCATCAGAAGAACCAGGAATGATGATGATGATGATGATGATGATGATGATGATGATGATGATGATGATGATGATGATGATGATGACGATGTGCTGCCAAGTCAATTCCCAAATATTTATGGTTACGACCTAGGTATATCTGGGGTTTTTAATTTAGTATTTTCAGCCAGTGGATAAGTGAATCAGCGGATATTGTTCCCATGAATGGGGTGGGGGTCCTACTGCATTAAAGTGATTGCAACTGTTTATTTGTTCATTCATTCATTCATTCAGTGGAATGTTTCATCTTGCAGAAATGACAAAGAGTTTTGTTGCACCTTAAAGACTAGCAGGTATTATCTGGCAAGAGTTTGCTTGCATGGCAGCCCCGTTTCAGAAACATGGAGGAAGGCCATTTACACAAGCAGGGGAAATAATGGGAAGAAAGTCCACCGAGCAAAGTGGTGTTCTTATTGGTGGCCCTTCATGGTGGCTGTTAACTTTCCTTCCTGCAGGATGGCAGTAGATAGGGGTCTTGGGCCTTAAGACTCCTTGGACTTTCCTTGGTGGGTGGCCAGAACAGCCAAACGTAGATAAACAGATTAGGGTTTGCAGGGGTGCAGAAAGATCTTGTTGTTCTCCCAGGAAAAAATAAACTTAAAAAATATATACCCTGCTTGTCCTTACAGAAGAACTGCTGGAGAGGCAACGTGTTTGACATGGAGGCAGAGTTCATCTGCTTTCCCTCTGCACCTTTTTTTGGGGCTCATTGGATGCCAGAGGTCCCCTTGGAGGAGGCTGAAATGGAAATATCTGTGTATGCTTTGAAAGAACCAAAGGGATATTGGTCCATCTTTCCCAGGGTCAGGAACCGGGGGTGGGGTGGGGGGCGGACAACAACTCAGAGACCCTTGGGAGGTACAAGTATGAATGCAAGAAGCAACGTTGGTCTGAATCCGGGGGTGTGGTGGGTAGGAATATTTTCGTGTCCACTATATAACTGATTTACAAACGCAGCCTTCCAAAGAATAAAAAACATTCTTACTTAAGCTTCCCGTGTGAAGCGCTCTAAATCAGTCTGACAGGAGCCTGCCACCATGACAGCGGAAGGAAGACATTCTGCCCTCTGGCTCCCACTTATAATGGCATCAGCTCTGCCCCCTTCATAGCCTCTGACATGGTCCATGCTCCATGGCAACAAGGGCTGGCGTGGCTTATAAGACATTGGGTGAAGTGAGGTGGAGTGGGGGACACTGGCACTCTTTGGACTACCAGTAAATCTCCAGGGGAAGTCTTGCAGCTTGAACTGTCACTGGACATGTGGGAGGAGGGCTCTTATTGGAGGATTTGTTGTTGTTGTTGTTGTTAATTCCTTTTAGTTAGCAGAGCATAAAGTACAAAAAGCCAGCCACAACACATGGGAAAATGTGAAGGAGAGTAGCTAAGAGTCCAAGCTTCCTCTTTTGTTCTCACAGTAGTTAGCCTGTGTGTAAAAATCACTCTACAAGTAGGTTAAATAAAAAAATAGAAATATATTTACTTGCAATTGTGGAACTTCAGTTACAATCAGAAGAATAAAATGGATCAAGAAAGAGACAGCAGTCTCAACCATGATGGGAGAACGAAATCCATCATGGTGGCTGCATGGCCAGAGGTCAGGAGCAGAGTTTATATGTTAGCTCAAGTAGAGAGGAAGAGAAAGAGCAAACAAACAATGAAAGCAAACAAACAGGAAGAGGGGCTTGCCTGAATCCCAGAAAAACACCAAACTTTGCTAATATGTTAGTGGCAAGGCATAATGAGATTAGTCTGTGAAGCCCCTTTCCCAGTGAAATCCAGTGTTAAGTTGCATGCAAGTTTGTTATTTTCTCCACTACCTCGCACGGACCCACTTCATCCTCTTTCTTCCTCTGCTCTGCTTTCCCTCAGAGAGAGGATATCTGGGGCCTGCCACAGAGATGATGCTAAGCAGGATGACAGTGGGTCGGTGGGAGGGAGTGGAAGGTTCCTTCACCTCCGTGCAAGAAAACGGGAAGTTAAAATATTTATGGATTTGTACCAGACATCCTAGCCAAGCACGCAATACAGTACCCAAAGGCTTTGAGACAGCACTGGGTTGTCGCCACATCCGCTTTATGCTGGTAGCGCATCTCTTTGCCTCACATCCCTTCCCGGGAACATAGATGGTCCCCCTAAGGTGCAAACCGATGCCCCTTCTAGCCCCGCTCAGTTGCCAACAAACTGGAGCAGGTTCCAAGGAGGGCAAGAAGGATGATCAGGGGACCAGAAACCAAGCCCTCGGAGGAAAGACTGAAGGAATTAAGAAAAGAAGACCGAGGGGAGATAGATACACTTGAAAGGTTGTCATTCAGAGGAGGAGCAGGATCTTCTCGATCATCCCAGCGTACAGGATATGTAATAACGGTCTCAAGCTACAGGAAGCCAGATTTTGGTTGAATATCAGGAAAAACTTCCTAACTGTTAGAGCAGTACGACAATGGGGCCCATGACCTCGAGAGGTGGTGAGCGCTCCTACGATGGAGCCATTCAAGGGGAAATTGGGCAGCCCTCTGTCCGATCTGCTTTGCTTTGGATTCCTGCCTCGAGGACAGGGGGTTCGGCTTGATGGCCTTATGGGCCCCTTCCATCTCCATTGTGCTGCGATTCTATGATTTTAGCATTGAACCTGGCTGTGGTCGGTCTTTCTCCTGGACGGGTCCTGTGGGCAGTCTGTTACGCCGCTCTCCTTCATCCTTCATCTGTCGATCGTAATAAAGGAATTGTCTCTCCCTCGTTGCACAAGTGGGGAAATGTGCCCTCGAGTCCTGCTGTGTATGCACCATACACAGAGGGTATATTCTGAATTTGAAGTGAATTGTGTGTGTTGGGAGATGACATCTGAACACACGGAATGCCAGCTGACTCTCTTGACCCTGGATCTGACATCCCAATGCAATAGTCTTATCAGATTTTGGAACAAGGTCAGGCCTGGTTCGTACAGGGGTGGAAGATGGCGGGGGCTGCCTGTGCAAGACATCTGCCTTAACTGTGCGGAGGTGTTCATAAAACGATGAATGATGTTTATTTTAAAAACTATATGTTTTCAAGTACCTGAATATAATGTACAGACAGGAGCCTGTAATTCATAGAGGAACTTGAATGGATTTTAACCATGGCAGTCATTATATGGCAGTCATTATATTCTGCCAGAACATTTGTCTGCGCGGCTTGCCAGCCTTCCTCCCATCCAACCCACCCCAGTGATTAAGGAATGGTTTTCCTCTGTGTTTGTGATGCGGGCTTTTCCCGGTTTGGCTTAGAGGCAGGCAGAAGAGCTGTAACGCTGCTCCCCGGCAATGGGAGCAGGATTTCAGACGATCCCCAGGTAGATGACAGAGGGGCTCCAGGCTTACTCTCAAGGAGACAGGATTATTGGGTAGCTTTACGGCGCACACAAGAGTGCACAATGGATCGGAACGAGCGACGCCATGGCTCTCGCAAGACGGGGCCAAAAATTCCAAACATCCATCGAGTAAAGCAAAACGTCTTTATACGTGTTTGGCTCTTTACAGTAATGACTTGCAGGTGCCTCATTACTGCATGATGCTTTGAAGGATGATGCTGGCCTGTGAACGACGCCCGTACCGGTATCCTGCCATGATAAGCTCAGATCTGCACAGCAGAAGTGAATAAGCTCGTTAGGGGCGTGTGGTCATAAGTTGCGTCTGCGTCCAGTTCCCTTCATGTCCCCAAAACGTCCTTTGGCCCTCCCTGAATCGTGGGAGCCTTGCGGCAGCATCCATGACCCAGAATGGAGGGCAGGAGATCCAAAATGGAAGGCAGGCGGCCTCTGCTCCGTGTGGGGTACAGCGAGAGCGAAGGCGTGGGGAGGGGGACGGCCACCCGGGAGCTGTGCCCTAGCCTTGTCTTAATTAGAGATGGGCACTTTGTACGTCGTACGAATTCGTACGGCATGCGGAGTGCCGATCTCCAGTCTGAATGTGGGGGCTTTACCTTGTGGAAAGCTGAAGGGACAAACGTTGGCTGAGGACAACGTATCGCTTGCCAGTCAAGGATTTGGGGCAGGGCAGGGCTTCTGACACGTGCCATTCTGGTTTGGGTGACTTCTCCATGCCCTCTGCTGCCCTCAGTTTTGTATTTGCAATCCCTAATGCAGAACAAAATCTCCCCGACCCAGGCGTGGCAGAAATCCCGTCCTTAGGGCAGATGCTCCCAGTCAAAAAAGCAGCGTTTCAAAGCTCCCATTATACTGGATTTGTCACACGTTACCATAGTCTTTCGAGATTGAAGGGTGCCTAACGAACATAATACT